AATAATATCAACTTTGAAGATTGGTCACCACAAAATTTTGTTGACTTGGGCAATACATTAAAAGAATTTATTTCTTTAATAAGATTTCAGGATATTTCTAAAGATGATTTTTTTGATAAATTTACTCCATATTTAATGCTTTTTCCTAAACTTTTGTGGAAAGACCTTTTACAGTATTATTTTCTTCCTAATAGACAACAATCTTTAGATTTATTACCATCAAGAAATTTTAAACTCGAATCATCAATAATCAATCAAAAGCTTACTTTGCTTTTTGCAAGTTGGATTGATCGAAAAAGTCCACCATATAGTTTATTCGGAGAAGTCAAATACAATTTCAAACTTCTATATCGTAGTAGTAGATATGGTTTGAATCTAAATACATTTCATCAAAAATGTGATAATATTAACAAAACTCTTGTAGTTGCTAAAATACAAAATTCAGATCAAATAATTGGTGGTTATAACCCACTTAATTGGAATGTAGGTATGGAAATTGAATATAAGAATACAACAGAAAGTTTTATATTTAATATAACTAATAGAAATGATATTAACACAGCACAATTTAGTTATGTTATTAAAAATAATTGTCAATATGCAATTTATTGCGATCCTTCTTATTTACCTTGTTTTGGTAGTGGTAAAGATATTCATCTTTTTATAAACGGTGAAGTTTATACTGCATCAAATACTTATAATAATATCAATATAGCACGTGATGGTAGATTTGATGAATTAGAAGTTTTTCAAATAATTGATAAAAAATAACAATAATAAATACAATGTTAATTTTATTTGTCATTATTTTATTTATTCATAAATATTTACTGATAATGAACATATTACTGAATTTAATATGCCAGCTTGTTGAATTATCACTAGCTGTTTATTATTGGGAACTAACACCTTGAGCCATTAATTTCAAAGTTTGTAGTGTGTTCTCTGAATGTTTATTTTAGTAATGCTTTCATTTGTTGGAAACGTGACTTCAACAAACCAATATTTCCAATCTTTTTTGATCCATCTGATGTTGATGCTGGTTCTTTTTTTTTGATTCTTTGTATATGATTTGCTGTTCGAATTTCTCTTTTGAAGGTCTTACTACTATTTTAATTTTCACTTTGTGCGGTAGGGCCAGGAAATGACTAATCTATCTCAGAGCAAATAACCTCCTCTTCACAAACAATTTCCCTGGAACTGAGAGAATATTGCTGGTGACTTGGTTGCTTCCGCCACTGCAATGGGTTTGCCATTCGATGTTGTATATGTATATGGAACTGTCAGTTTAATTATATAATATGAAGTAATTTAGTTGGTCCTCTTTTTGTTTACAGATCCAAGTTTGTTGTTTCCTATGGAAAGCAAAAAATACATTAATTGATATATTGTTAAAATAAACAATTATTGTTAATAAAAGTTCCTTGGAAATAACTCAGACCCAACATTCAGAAATCTTTTAATCATTAACATGATCGAGTTTTCTTTTATCTTCTGGATCATTACTACTTGATTATTTCTAAACGCCTTGAAGTTTATTTTGACAAATTCATCATTGTCTATTCTGCTGTAACAATGCCTGCATAGACCTTTTCTCCACTTACACTCTTGATAAATACAAGTGAGGATATAACAGATGAACATTTGTAAGAATTTTTACAGATTAAAAGAAAAGATTTTTATTTAAGAAATGATTATGAAGGTTGATCATAATTGTTTGCGGTTAGATGGATCATTCAAACAAAAACTTAATTGTTGTCAAGAAATTAATTAAATCTTTTTAAAACACAAAGAAATAAAAAATCAACACACAATCCATGATTTTATTTCTTATTTCTCAATTATTCTTATTACTTCCACCACTGTATAATAAACAATAACAAAATAAGTTAGAGGTTAAATATAAAATAAAATAATAAAATAATAATAGTAATAATGATAAATATGTCATCGTTACCTTTACTCTCTCTCTTCCTTCTCTAATTACAATTTTTTAAAAAATGAGAAAAATTTTTCGTGATCAATTATCATCATTTCATGCATATTTTTTTAATAAAACACTAAACCAAAATATGAACAAAGAATCTTTATCCAGAGAAAAAATTTTTAGGGGACGAACCGCAATAGTTAACGGAGCAAAGCAAAAGGCAGAATTAGCAAGAAGCATATATCCTTTTAGAAATTGTTAAAAAAGACGATGACATATATCGTAGAAATAATTATATATATAATTATGGTCCAAGTCCAAGTTTAACCGCAGTTTTATAATCATATTTTTATTTTTATAATAAAACAAGAAGTCCACCGAGACCGGAACGTTTATTAAGAATTTGTTCATTGAT